CATATTTTGTCCCGCACTTTCAACTCGGGAACCACAAAAGCTAGGCAGCTGAAATTTTAGTATAGTTTCTCCTGTCAACGTATGACGCAGCAAATTTAAATTCAGCTTTCCCCTATCTGCGGGGAACATGTGCGGCCCCGTGAAAATTTTTGGTAGGTAAATTATTATCTCGGGAATCACGGAGTCTAGGAAGCTGAAATTTTAGGGTTGTGATCCCCTGCCCACGAACGATCTTGCTAATTCAAATTCAGCGTTCCTGCACTCTCGGGCACCACCTAAGGCCCCGTGAAATTTTTGAGGGTAAATTATTAAGCACAAAGTCTACGAAGCTGAAATTTTAAGGTAATGACCAAGCCCACGTATGACCTGCGCTTTCGAGTATCACTTACGGCCTCGTGGAGATTTTGGCGGTTAAACTCGGGAATCACGGAAGGATTATCTTGGGAATCACGGAAGGATATTCACCTTTCAAGGTTTCATGTTACAAAGCAGTGAAAATCATTAATAGGCAATCGTTCGGTTGGCGGAATTGCATAAAAAACTTGATCGCACCGGCTGATCTGGTGAGCGTTGCTATTTATTCTTTTAATTGCTGGGTCGTTGGACAAAAAACATAAGTTGGATAACGGGTATTTTGGGCAAAAAAATTATTTATTGTTCATTATTAGAAATCTTAATGAAAAAAATCCTAACTAATGTTTATCAAATTTCGTCAAATTCACATTTAATGTCTGTGATAGAAAAAGTTTGATATGTGTGCGCTGTATTTAAGATTTTTAAAAACGCAGAACTGAAGTGATGAAAGATTTTCGAAATCACCAGTAGCTATCCATTAGGCGATGTAGTATTAGACAAAGTAAATGGAAAAACCGGTATCTGCCTAAGCAAAGAACCAGACGATCAACTGTAGCTGGTTAAGGTTTAGTGTACAAGAAAAATTTGAAGAAACAATTTGCCAAGCTATTGTAGCCATGGACATTGTGGGACAAATAGCAGCTTATTACAATAAACCAGTGTTTTTGTGGACGCCATCTACGCATTTCAAAGACATGAAGGATTTTCCGATGACAGTCGCTATTGCACCAACCATTTACACGTAGGTTTTTATGCAATTTTTGGCAAAAATTCCTGGAGATTTGTATTCGTAAATATGCATCACGACGAATCTATTTCAGAATAGTGTTAGCCACCATGAAAATACTTTATTACTTCAATTGGTTCAACTTTGCATTCATCTATTCAAGTGGCAGATACTGCGATCCATTCAGAAAAGAATTCGAGGTGTAATCCCTTCTAACAAAGAAACTGAATCATTTTCTCGTTTCGCTTGTAATACTGCTTGCGCTACTTCACTTTCCACACATTCGTTTGAACGGTCTTAGTACTCTCAATTCCTAAGTACTCTCGGTCTTAGTACTATCAATTTTAAATAAACAATTCAGGAAATAAGATTTCATCCTTCTCTCACAAGTGAATGTGGAAAAATTCAAAAAAAGTTTTTTTTGCGGCCGCATCTGTAAATTTTTGGAAGTAGTATTATGTTGCTTGCAGCGTGATACAAGTGTGGATGAAAATTTAACGATTGTTTACAAGCAAAATCTAAACGGGTCGTTTGAAAACATCGATTCAGTTTTGGAGGAGCTCCAATTTCGCTCAAGAAGTGATGCTTTTTTATACTTTTTGTACTGGCGCAAAAAACTGGTTGTGTGTATATATGTCTTTACCTTGCTTTCGGATTACCTCCTTTTCCCAAACTCTGTAATCTTCTAATTTCATGAACAGAGTCCCGATCATGAGTCTGTACTCATGGATTATCTCATGGATTATGGGGCTGTGCTCCCCTGTATTCTAGCCTCGCGATCTAGTTTAAAACCATCCCTATTCAAAAAAAGGCTCAAAAGTTCGATATATTCGCAACAAACTTCCGATCACGAACGTGCCTCGAAAATTTGAAACGATCTCTTAGGTTATTTACTGTCCTGACTTTAGATTTTGGGTTCAGACTGAAACGATGTGATCTGGAAAGCCCATTACCGAATACGAAGCAAAAAGCTTGATTCGGATCTCATTCGTTGTATTTTCTGATCCACAAATGACCTTATTTTTAAATATGCGCCGAATTATAATCTATAAACAAAAAAGCTGTGCATATTGCGCTTTATGAAGTAGAAATTTTATATAAAAGTTGTAAGGTAAGAGGATTTCGCAACTATTAGAGCATACAAACGGTTCTGAATTGGAAGAAGATCGCAGTTACCTTCATTTTGAATCAAGAATTGAACATGGCTACAATCCGCAGGTGTTGGTGGACAGGACTTCCGATGGGTAACAAATCTCACATCAGTGCTGGTACCCAGCGTGAACCGAAAGGACCGGGTTTCCTATCTCTTCAATTTGTACTGGATGCAGTGGCGTACAGTAGTTACTGGGGAAGTAGAACAGCGTACGCTGGTTGTATGAAAAGAAGAAATAAAGCAAAAGATTTTTGGAGTATTTTTTCTTGGCCGAGAATCAGACTTTTCAGTGCACGAGAAGACCTTGCAGTATTACTGCGGTTGTTTAAAAAAGTAAATTGGGAAAGACGGGGCGTGCTGTTTGGTTTCTTGACGAGAGGTAACAACGTACATCAATAAATGGTGCAGCAAAAAATAAAGCTCCATTATCCATGGATCTTTATAAGATGGGTCACCGTTAGCAACGCAATAAGACTGGAATATTAATGCCAAAACTAATAATTTCATCCCTAAAACTTCATATTTTCCAATTAATTTGGAAAATATGAAGTTTTAGGGATGAAATTATTAGTTTTAGTGGGGATGAAATTATTAGTTTTAGGGATGAAATTATTAGACACGAACACTTATATATTTAGAACACCTAGACTAAGCTGACAATCGATGTGGATATCACACGCTATTGGTGTTGATGGGATGCTTCCAAACGCCAGACGAAACTGTATTTACGAAAACATTTTCTCTGATTTTTTATGAATCACTTTTATTCTAGTAATAGTGATCTGCATCGACAACCAATCAGTTAGGGAAAATTTCCTGCGGTCTGCTGGAAAATTCGACTTAACTAGTGTGGAATACGTCTACATCAATATCTTCACTGGCGGTAAAAGTTCTTTTTGTTGATAATTTAATATTCGTTTTGCTGAAATTATTCCAGTGTTTCACCCATGTGTCAAGAGAAGCCAGATTTTGTTACAAAGCAAGGAAAAGTTTTGCTATTAGAAGCAGTGCTCTCTGCTGAAGAATCCGCTTTTTTACTGTTCCGCATAACAGTTTGCTTACTGTAAAGAAACTAATTATTTATAGGAATAGTGACAGGAGAATGGTGCTGAAAGCTGATTATTTCTTAGATGGACAAGATGTGGATGGGGTTCCACTGGTCAGTGAGAAATAAAATTAATGATTGTACTGGATTTCAGATCCATTTATGAAGCGTGCAAAATATGCTGATCCTCCGCTTCGGGCAGTCTTTGGGCGCCAGTTAACCTTCGATTTTGTGAGTTGATAGTGTTTTTGCAACTCAAGAAATGTCGTGACACTGCTTTGCCTAAAATTATGAAATTTCCGATTAGAAAATATGGGCAAAATACAATATAATTTAGATACGATAAATTAGAAAAAGTTGGCTGCTGGCAAATACACTTGCGCAAGCGCAGAGTCGAATTCCACTTGCATTTAGAGATTAGCAGCAAAAATTCGTGCAGTCTTTTTGGTTAATGTAGAAATCATCAATTGGTTAGTAGTTTATTAAGGATTCAACGAGCTTTGTGTGACAAAACGAAGCTTGCAGGTGGAAGGTGGTCTCTCAGAAAAAGCATATGCAAATTTTTATACGGAACTCGAAAGAATCAGTGAACTGCCTCCTTACAATTGTCGCGAGAAATCCAATGTTCGATTTTCCATATCCCCTTTTTATATTCTTCACAGCCCTGTGTGTGAAATCTCTGCAGTGAATTTACTTACAGTATCTTCTTTCATCATATCATTTGCAGACTTCACGTTATTCGGCGTATCTATTCGATGCGGTGTATCTATACATACGTAGCTTGTATGAGGCAGTTGTTGCCGGCCAGTCGTTCAGAAACGGATCTGTTATCATCCAGAACGTCTATGGTCAAAAAGTCGAAGGTTTGTTTAACTGTATAAATTGAACTCAAGATTTATTGTGCAGCTATTTGTCCCGTGCTTCATTTGATGACTCTAGCAACAACTCATTATCGACTTGTTCGAGGTCACATTACCGCATGTGCAGCTTGCTGATGGCTTCAACTCTTGTTTCTTTGTTTTATCATTCGTCTTTCTGGGCGATTCCTCAAGCCTAGCAAGCATCTTCTCATACGGCATTGACTAAAATGAGGCATGGTCATTAGAGCACAAAAAACAAACCTTATAAATTTTGAAAAGGTTGATCGCCTTCATCTGAGAATTGAATAAACGCATATTATGAATTGCTGACGTAGTGCTTTGCAAAGAAGTAGTGATACGGATATGGGGAAAAAAGAGCAAGGGTTTATTTTTGCAGACAAAGCCGGTTCACGAGAGAAAACCCGAAGTTTTTGCAAAATTTACCTAACTAGTAGAAAATAAATAACAGCGCATACCAGATTAACCGGTGCGATTATGCATTTTGTGCAATTCCGTCAACCGAGCGATTGTCTGTTAGTGATTTTCACTGATTTGCACTTTGGACTGTGCAAAAATAGTTGAAATGTTAAAAAATAGCTAAAAATTTCACGCATCGGTGTCTGAAAGCTGTATTTGAAACCTCGAAAGGTGAATACCCTTTCAAAACTTCATTCTTCTCATTTTCTGGCTTTTGAATGTCTTTAAGACGAAAATTTCACATGGTCGTACGCGAGGCCTCGGCATACTTAGGAATTGAGTTCGATTCTGTGAAGCCCCTGCTTAGGCAAGAAACATTCTCCATAATTTTCAGCCTCCTAACTCTTCTGGCTCCCAAGATAATGTTTTTTTCACGGGGACGTTGAAGATTTGCGGAACTGTACATGGACAGGGTATCTCACACTAAAACTTCAACCTTCTAGCTTTTGCAATTCACGAGATAATAATTTCCTTACCAAAACTTTCACGAGGCCATACGCCGGGTACTACGTGAGTGCTGAAACCAAATTTGTGAGGGTCGCAATTTGTTAGGGGACATTGCCGTAAAATTTCAAATTCCCAACTTTCACGGTTCCCGAGATAATAATTTACCCGCCAAAAATTTCACGGAGACGTAGGTGATATCCGAGAGCACGAGAACGCTTAATTTAAATTTGCAAGGTGGTACATGAGCAAAGAGTCATTGCCCAAAAACTTCAGTTTCCTAGCTTCCGTGGTTCCCATGACAATAATTTTACTCGCCAAAACTTTTACGCCGCCATATGTGTTACCCAAGAGCAGAGGAAAACTGAATTTAAATTTTCTGGGTCGTACGTGAGCAGGGAGCATGCCTACAAAATTTCAACTTCCTATCTTTTGTGGTTCTCGAGTTGAAAGTTGCGGACTGGTTGCTGTGGACATACACATAAACACACACACAGAAAACTTCGTGACAACATGCGTTTGTGTAGCTGTTGCACAGCACAAAACGCATAGAAATGAGTGGAAAAGAATCATTTTTGTACACTATTTGATTTTTGACCCTGTCAACAACGAAAATATTCATTTAACACAAATTCCAGACGGCAATCGAGATTACGGACGCAAAATACAGTATAGAGGAAGACTCGGGTTCACTGACGACGGTGGTTACTGTTGCCTTTCTTCCCCAATCCACAATAGCGGGAGCTCGACGAATCCTATGGTGATAACAGTCCTGACTGTGGCGAGGAACTGCGATGACGACGCAGGCGGTATGTTAGCAATGTGTCCCCAGGTTTACTGTCCTGTGAACTGGATGCTAGTCTCAGTGTCTTGCTTGCCTTGTAAATGCAACTTCTTGTTAGGTGCCTACCAACTGTTCAGCTCCGCGCCTCGGTCACAACACAAAAGAACTTTCTTTCAGATGCAAGATGTCAGAAATTAGAAAGCTGCCTGTAACACAGAGCTCATGCATTTGGAGTGCCGATGAGAATCTGAGTGGGTATAACTAAGGTGAAAAAAATCTAGTAAAGAAATTAAAAAATGGAGACATAGAAGTGCTGATGCGGGCCGATCACAGTACAATTTTTTCAAAGTGAGAAAGAAAACGTATGAAACGCCAGTTGCATCAGCACAGAGTTGTCATTAGGCAAATGATAACGGCGGGGCTGAGAAAAGAAATGAGTACAGTGGATGACTTAGGCAAAGAAAGGATTTCAAAACAAATCAGTGATGAGGTCACTCAAGCCCTCTTCATTTCAGGAATGACCGGAAAGTTCGAAATTCATGAATATCATGCGCGGAAGCCAGTCTTTGAAATGTATGCGCTTAATGGTCGTTGGGATTTGCAGTCTTTTGCAAAAATCCGCATCTTGAGCAATGACATTCAAAAATGCGTGAGTTGCTTAATCATTGCCTAAAAGGAAACTGGAAATAATAACCCAGGCTGGAACGCACCAGGCGAGCCGGTGCGATTATGCGTTTTTGCACTTCCCGTGCCGTAGCAAGATCGCAAGGAATCACAGTAGCT